CGCAAGCAATTTATACCAGTAGACTTCTCAATTTTTCAAATCTTCCAAAACCTAAAAATTTTGAAAATTTTGAAAAAATAAACTTGAAGAATTAACAAAATCTTTTATCAAATAAATTCTAGTAAGTATCACAATTCTATTTTACATTACATTTCATAATCATTTTTTATGTTTAATTTATTTTATTTTTATTTTATTTTTTATTTTTTTAATTAGGTGATAATGATGATGATGACGATGATGATGAGGATACATCTAATTTATAAATTTTATTTAACGTTATATATTTGTATCTTATAAAACACTATTTATTAATTTTTTTTGATATTATAAAATCTTAACACTAAGTATAGAGTATGAATGAATTCAAATAATTTAGTTTGTATCAATTTTTTTTTTTTTTTAAATTGATCAATCAATTTAATTAACATTTTAAAAATAATTGATAAAGCAAATGATAAATTGCCTTATGTAATAAATTCTTAAATTCATATTATTAATTTTAAAAAAAAATATTTTGATTATCCATGAATTTAATGTTTCGTGTGATGACAACATTAAAACATGAAATATTAAATACATATATGTCTAATAAAATATAAATGGAAACATTTGCAAGCATTTCCAACAAATTTTCACTATAAACATGATTAAAAAATATAAAAACTAGTTTTATAAATATTCAAATTTCCCAAATATATATTATTATTAGACTTACATTATTATTATCTTATCTATTTTACATAGAATTATTGATATTGTAAATTCTTCTTATATCTTTGATACAGTATGCTAATATAATGAGCTTATATCTTCGATACCAAATTAATAATTGTTATATATCTTCAATATTCGTGCTAAAAATATATATTAGATGATATTGCAAATTTCAATTATTATTATTATTATTATAAAATTCACACATTTGAAATATTAAAATTCCTATACCTATATATTATTTAATATATATATTTTCATATTATAAATTTTCGTTAAAAAATAAATTAATGTGAATTAATTAATTAAAAAAAAAGTATAAAACTAATTAGGCCAAGAATCTAACATTTTATTATCGTGATTCTCATTATTCCATTACATCAGTATTAAAATACATAATTAAGATAAATATTGTTTAAAATAAATAATAATAAATATATAATTATTATTTACTTACCATGTCAGCAGAGGTGACTTGATATAACTTGATTTAATTCTTTATATCAATAAAATTTTTATATATCATAATAATTAATTAATTTACATTATTAAATAAACGATAAAATAATTTTTATTTAAATTTATAGCATAAATTAAATTAATACTATATTATACAAACTTATATCGATTTCAACTCCTTCATATATTTATTATCTATTGAGTCGACATTTTTAGTCCGTTGTTTAAATGAAGGAAACGTGATTTGCTCGAACAGACTCCGTTGCATTTATATTATTTATATTGTGTATATTTAAATAAATAAAAAATAAAAAATAAAAAATACAATAATAAAAATAAATTAAAATCAAAGGTAAATAGTCCGGAACAAGCTAATGTATGTAATAATTTTAATAATAATACTTAGATATCTAATGTTGATTATTGAAAAAAAAAATAATAAAGAAATGTAACAGAAAGTTAAAAATTTTAATGTATTTAAATTGATTAAATTGACGTGAACAGCAAAAAAAATTCGAAACGATCCTTATAATCATAATTAAATGGATGAATATGTAAGAATCGCGTAATGATACTAAATTTATCATTCATCTATAACAAAGATTTGCATTTTATCTTATATAAATTATGAATAAATAAATTTTATTTTTTTCATCACCAAATAATATAAAATAATCGATATTTATGTAATGATGGAAATAAATATGTATGTTTATTGATAATATAAATACAAAATGACATTGAAATAAATCAAGCTAACGAACTAATCTCTATAACATTGAGATATAATATGTAAAAAAAAAAAAAAAACAAAATAATGAACTATACACTATAGTTATGAATATTTAATAGTTAAAAACAATTATTGCGTCGAAAAACAATAACAATAATTAAGAACTCAATTTGTTGAAGTTAGCAAATAGTGGGGTAAAACTGAAATCTAGATGGATATTTTTGTCTAAGGCTTTGTTTCGGGAAATTGTTACAGGAATTGTTAGATCGAAGAAGAGGGGAAGGATGAAAACATGGACGAGGATACGTATGAGGTGAAGCAATTGTCTTAATTTTGTTAACCTTTTCTTTGATTTTAAAATGTTCAATAATGATCGTAGACGGAACCAGGTGCAATTTATTAAATGATATCTCTTCTTTCTTAATAATAATTAAATTAGATAAATCTTGAATATCTTTTTTGATTGGTTCAATATATGTCGGAGGATTCATGTTCAGTAATAGTTGAGCTTTAAGATAATTGATCAAGTAATAATCGAGCCAATATTTGAAATCTTCTTCATTTAAATAAATTTGAAAATTAAAACATTTTAAAAATGTTAATTCCATTTCATTAATTTTCATAAATTTGATTTTGGTAATATCCGCCCATGTTCTATTTGAAAATTTGTGATCGTTGTGATATTTATCGGCGAGTATTAATGAAACCAGATATGTTTCAATAAAACCATAATTAATGTCATTATCAGCAACGATTAAGTATTTTTGAAATAACCTGATAGAAATAATTACTGTGGTAAATGACAATCTGGTTAATTCCAATAACTAAAGTTTTTTTTAAAAAAAAAAATTTTTTTATGAAAAAAAAGGTTAATAAATGATATTTAGAAAGTATAACAAATGACAAGATTTTTTTTAAAAAACTTTTAAATATCAATATTTTTATATATTTATAACTTTATATTCATATTCATATTTTACATTCATATTTATAAATTACGAAAATTTACCTCTTTACAATATTTCTTCAAATATTCATGATTAATTACAGAGTTCGAATTGAATTTAGATTTTTTCCATAAAAAATGAATAACATCGGCAAGAAATTCACCAATTTCCTTCGGTCCAGAACTAGGAATTTGAATTTTCAAAGGAATCGGAACCAAAGAACTTAATCTTCGACCATCGTAAAAAATTTGATTTATGGGACCCTCCATTTTTAAAGCAAAAATTTATTTTGATAAAATAATATAAAATATTGTTTCGTAAAAATTTTAGTTAAGTAAATTTATAATTTATTAACCCCCCAAAAAATAGATAAATAAATTATTTTGAATTTTTATGATAGAAAAGGAAGAGCAACAACAGAACGAGAAAAGAGAAGAAAATTGGGTTATTTTTATAATGTTAAAAAATATACATTTTAAAATTATTCCGGTTTCCTTTTTTGGGTTTTTCCTAGTATTTTACACGCAGCAACAAAGTTGCTTTGTCACTACTTTTGTCGTTACTTTTGTCACCATTTTTGATCATTGTTTAAATGTACTTTACTATAATAATAAAAATATTGAATCGTGAAACATAAAATAAGAGTATAATAAAATACATAATGGAATATAATGAATGAATTTAATAATGCTTTGCCATCTGTGTTACGACCTTTAGAATTTTGAATACTGGTTTTTTTTCTTTTAAACATATCCATTTGAGAAAAAGAGATTTTAATTAATTTTATTGGGAACATATATGTAATTCATATTATATAATATAATATAATATATATATAATTCATATTATAATATATAATATATGTATATTATAAAATATAATATGTACAGTATTGTCGCGGTCTGCGCAGAACAAGTGGAAAGTTAAGCCAATCAGTCTCAATAAATTTGGGTCAATCACACGATAA